CTAGCAAAACTCCAAAAACCTACTACATGAGTTTCTGTTGAATAACAACATGAAAGAGTCCACTGTGAAAGAACATGCCCAACGCTTCAATTTTGGTACTTGGGTTGTATTGTATTAATTTGGGCTTTGATTAGATTAGTGTTGGGCTGGGTCTTTTGTATTGCTCACAATTATCAAAGCTTTTTATCGCTGAACTATGCAAACAATTGAAACTATCACTTATTTCAAACATGTGACAACACACCATGAATAACTCCAACTCTGGTCTGATACATAGCTAAATAGTCTTGCATTTTCTTGGTGAAGATTGATGGTACAACCTTTGAGAATGTTAAACATACAAAATCAACAACAAACTCAAGTTTTTTTTAATCCACAAATAAGCCATGCGACCGTTATGTTGATTGTACTAATGAATTGAACCAAGGACATTGATCTTGGCTGAATCTTCATGTAATGAACTAACTTGAGAAAAGAGTTAGTTTACGAAATAAGCTATACTCATATATAGGAAAATATCATTCTTGTTTACTTTTTAAGGCCTAAAATTCGTGTTATACAGTTTTAGAGTTAAAAATTTTTTTTTTTTAAATTTATTAGAGTTTAAACTTTTGAATTTAAAATACAATAATTAAGATATGAGGTTTAGCTATATATAAAAACTGCATTATTTTGTACAATATTCTCTATAAACGCAATTTAAGTGAGTTTCTCTGAAACAATTTTATGGCGCATATAAATTAGCCTTGATATACCAAACAGAAAGGTAATATCTTTAAGTTTAACAAAACAAAAAAAATATAGAAGGAAGCATGAGATCAGTATCTAGTTGATTCTTTTTTTCTTAGCATTTTCGTCCCACAATAAATCACAAACTTAAAAAGACTAACCTTTGTGGTATACACTAATACACATATCATATATATAATGTGATTATGTGAATGCTTGACTTGGAAATTTCATAATTTATTGCCGTATTCTAAGATGCAATTTCGACGACTATCAACATCAAAAAGGTTCCTTCAACTCTTTAAATTTCTTATTTAATTACAAATCAACTAAAAACATAATTCTCTTTTTACGTCATAGCATCAATTCAAATATGTAACTTTCTTTTCTTCTTTTATGGCCACTACTAATAAAATAAACAATAACAACAAATAAATAAAATCCCACTGGCTAAACATCATATCAAAATAAATAGTTGACTCCTAAGAGCCAATCACTCTTATTAAACTAATCAAAAGATTCAAGATTCAAAACCCATTTTTATTCTCTTTATTTTTTTTAAATAATAAATATCTTTATATTATAAAGAGAGGTTGTTCTTGTCAGTCTCACATAAAGATTCCTAGTCTTAACTCTTAC